CATCGTCATCGCTTGATGAGATGAGTGAGATAGAGACGGCCGAAAGCGGAGTATGAGCCGAGTGTGGAGAGATGGTAGTGCGTGGGGTGAGAGTGTGCGAGCGTGCTAAGCCATGAGCAGAGTGTGACGGTGAGGGATGACCACCACCACCTCCTCCTCCTCCGGCCGTGAGGGGTGACGGGGTAGCACGACCCAGCCGACCGGCGGCAGCCGACGACGAGGGAACAAGCGAGAGTGTTTGTCGACGACGACCCATACTAAACACCCCTACACCCTCCCTCTGGGTGAGGTGAGGATAGTGAGGTGAAGGAAGGTGAGGAAGGGAGGGAGGAGGGCGGGGGAGGACGGGTGGCGCGGAGTTGGCAGACGAGTGCGACTTGCCTAAGGCAAAAAGGTCGTGGTTTGGCAGACCGGTAAAGCGAGGGAGAGGCCGAGGCCGAGAAGCCGTGGGACTGCCAACAACAGCACTCTTCTTGGCTGTTGTGGGTTGCGGACAGAGGGAGAATGTGGGCTGCTCGGTCCATGGTGGTGGGTACGGGTGCTGGTCGTGCTGGTAAGTGGCTGGTCATGGCGGGCAGAGCCTACGGCACCGGCGGTCGCAAGTGGCGCCGACGGAGGGAGCGGCAGAGGGCCAAGTCGCAGGGTCCGCAAGGTCCGCAAGGTCCGCAGGGTTTGCAGGTTTCGCAGGGTTCGCAGGGAGGGCAAGGGGGGGCGAGACGCCAGAGACTGAGCCCTGGCAAGGCTTTGATGGGTGGTCGCAGATTGCGGGCTAGCGCAGTCGACGCTGTGCCGGCAGATGATCGCAGTGGGGATGATGCTGGTGCTGATCGGTGGTGGGAGTGGAAGAGCTCGCGGTTGGTGCCAGCTGGGCGGCAAAAGACAGCGGATGTGTCTGGAGTGGGCAGCGGGGGCGCGAGTGCCGGGCGATGGTGGCGGCTGGTGCACGAGGCGGATGTGGAGCACGTTAAGGTGATCCAGGCGCGTGATGCAGCCACGGCGCGGAAGAGCCAGTCTGTGGCCAAGGTCGGCGACTCGGCGAGGCTGCTGTAGCCGGCTACCTCGGCCCTGTCCCGCTCTCGCAGCTCTCGACGCCGCTGGACCAGTCGCTGGATCTGGAGATCTTCATGCCGCGGCAGGAGGTCGAGGTGGTCATCGGTGCACGGCAGGGTGCCGTCAAAGGCTGGGACCTTGGTGTTCGAGGTATGACTGTTGGCGAGAACCGGCGGCTTGTGGTTCCACCGGCGTATGCCTACGGCGAGCACGGCTCTCCCTCGCTCGGCGTTCCACCCGACACCGAGCTGGCGTTCGACATCGAGCTTGTCGAGCTCACCAAAGAGGCCAGCACTCGGGATCGGAGCAAGGGCAAGAGCCGTCCTCGGGAAACTTGTTGACGAGACACTACACACATGAATGTACCCATGCCCAGCGACGACATGAAGCCGAAGAGTGGGTGCGACGGAGGGGGGAAGTGGGCGAACTGGGTACGAGCAGTTCGTTCGGCTGAACACTCGTCGCCGCCACCATGCCGTCCCCAGGTACGTGACCATGCGAGGCTGTACGGCAGCCTCTGCCATTGCTATTCCCCACGCACATACTCTGTCCCATCATTTTACATGCTACCTACATTATATATATGTGTCACGCAGTTGCAACTATGTCTGTATCCCTTCCACTCGCCGGGGGTTTATGACCTACATGTTGTTGCCTATGATCAATACCCCTCCATAGTCGTTTTTCTTGCCACGCCAAGAAGCCACACAGGCCACAAGCCGGAAGGGCCACCCACCCACACACACACACACACACACACACACACACACACACACACGATTCCCCTCTCTTTCTCTTCACATAACCATGTGCTGGAACACCAAGTATAATGGTATGTCGTCTCTGCACTCATTGTGTGTTGAAACGCGTTGGTTTGGGGCGGACGCGGCTGGCGGCTGGCTGGCGGCGGACGGTTGGCGGCTGGCAAACGGGGTCGGCACCGGACGACTACGGGGGTGGGGGGGATCGGATCGGGGATTGGCTGTAGACTTTGGGAGCATGTCGGTGGACGAGACGTTGAGCCATGTGATGGAAAACTAGGCCAGGCGTCGGCAGTGCCGCCGCGGACCAAGTTGGCTCTGCTGGACGCGCTGTGCGGGCTGCACTCGGGAAAGCTGACCAAAGCGCTTTCGGAGCATGTTGCGCCGCAGGCGTTTGTGATGGTGCTGCGGCCGCTGTGTGTGGATCCGGTGAAAGCGATTCGGGCGGCGACGCTGCGGACGCTGCGGTACTTTGCACGCGACAAGGAGGTGATTGAGGCGATGCTGGCAGCCAAGATACACGTGTTTGTGGGCCTCTCGCTGGAAAAGGACGCCAAGCACGAGATGGAGCGGATGCAGGCGATGAAACTTGTGCGCAAGCTGATTGAGGTGCACCCAGAGGCGTTTCCGCGGTCGCTGGCGGTGAGCCTTGTGGCGATTGCGACGCATGTTGAGGACGCGTTCTGCCGGGTGTGCCTCGAGTCGCTCTGCGAGCTTGTGGTGCGCAATGCGCGGGTGGTTGCACTTGCGGGCGGGATCAAGACCCTCATCGAGGCGATCCACGTCAAGAAGTTTGAGGACATTGTGGAGCCGCTGACGCTGACGCTGATGTACTTGCTCAACGGGCCGGAGGCGCGGCAGTACGTGCTCCACCACATCGACATGGGGACAGTGCTGTCGCCGCTGACGGATACGTACACGGCGCACGACCCGGACGTGGTGCGCAAGCGTGCGGCGACGGTGCGTGCGCTGCTAGCGATGCTCCGGTCGTGGCCGGGGCTCATCGGGCTCTCGTCGCTGCAGCACGTGGGGCTCTCGTCGGTTGTCTCGGCGCTGTGCCTAGAGGACGAGTCGATTCGGTACTCTGTGCTTGACCTTCTGTTCCGGATTTTCCGGCTCCGCAAGCCGCCGCGGACGAGCTCGTTCCCTGCGGCGCTCAAGGCGCACTCTGCGTCGCTGGTGCACAAGGTGACGGAGCTCTCGCGAGTCCACGAACGGTTCTCGCTCTCAGACGCGTACATGGCGGCTCTTCTGGTGGGCTTTGTGTCTGCCGGCCTTGTGGAAGCGCTGGTCTCGCTGGGCATCTGCGACGACCGCGAGCTGGCGGTGCAGGTGACGATTTTGCTCGGCGAGCTGCTGCACATGGCGAACAAGATCCTGCCGCATGGGCAGTGTGCGCAGCTGCAGACGCTGCCGTCGCTGGTGGCGACTGCGGCCGAGTTCCGCAACCAGGACGATCCGTTTGAGCGGTCGCGGGCCAACACGCTGCTGTCCAGCCTGCACGAGTTTGCGCGAGTCCGCAAGCTGGCGTCCGAGTACACCGACTTTCACATGCAGCTCCTCCTGCTCAACACGTACAAGACGCGGCGGCGGGAGGGGACGGACTCGACCGGCGCGTCATCTTTCAACGACCACATCAAGAACCTCAAGGTCAAGCTGGAGGCGTCGATGGACGACAAGTCGTTTGACGCGCTCCTCAAGTCGACGCAGATCTTTGGCACCAAGGACTTTACCAAGTGGCACTGGGACGTCATCGCCGAAGTCATCGAGGGTCCTCTGTCGGATGTGCGGCGGATGGAAGAGTGCATCACGCGGACCAAGTTTGCAAAGCGCATTCTCTCGTTCCTCCGGCCGTCGAACCACCAGTTCTCGGACATGCGGATTGACAAGCGGAACAAGCACAAGAACCTGCGGTACATCCGGACAGCGTGCTCGTTGCTCGACGCGCTGATGGCGTCTGACGAAGGTGCGCGATACCTGGCAGAGAACGAGCTGCTCGATCAGATTGCCGAGTTTTGCCGGGCCGAGGTAGCGCAGGGTGCAGGGACAGGGACGGGGGCGGGCGATGGAAGCGGCAGCAGCGGCGGAGGTGGTGGTGGTGGCGGGAGCTCGTTTGAGCCTGGGCCAGGGGTGACGCTCTCGGACCGGTTTCTGGAGAAGAACCGGCTGACGCGGACGATGACGCGCGAGTACTTTACGATGCTGGGAGTGCTGTCATCGACAAAGCGCGGGCAGGACTTGCTGGAGCAGAAGGAGCTGTTCAACGTGCTGTATCCGCTGACGGACGGGGCGCGCGGGCGGGAAGACCTTGCCAAGCTCATTGTGACGTCGCTCGATTACAACCTCAACGGGCACCCGCGGGTGCTCCTCGCCAAGGCCATGACGTGCAAGAACCGCAACATCCGGTACATTGCGACACGGCACATGCGTGTGCTGCTCCGGGCGGGCGTGTCTGACTTTCCCAACTGGGGCACAGACCTGTTGGTGACACAGCTCAACGACTCGGACAAGGACATTTCAGCTACGGCGCTCAAGATCCTGGTCGAGTCGTGCGAAGACGCGGACACGCTCGCGACGCTCATTTCCAAGCGGCCTCTCCTTGCCACGCTTGAGGGCAAGGGCAAGGACATCCTGCTGCGGTTCCTCTCGTCGCCAGCCGGTTTTGGCTACCTCACTGAGCACGCGTGGATCGAGAGCGAAATGGCGCACTGGCACGCCAAGGGCAACCTCGAGTACGTCAACTCGCTCGAGGTCGCGCTCGCCAAGTCGCTGCAGAAGTTCCTCTTTGGCTCTACTGCGGGCTCGGGCTCGGGTCCGTCGGGCTCGGGCGGGAGCAAGGGCCGTTCGGGCTCGGGCTCGAACGACGAGGGCACAACGACAGTGCTCCGGCCGCACTTTTACGGCGAGCTGGCCAAGACAAGTCGGGGCGTGGCACTGCTCGCCGAGTCGGGCCATATCAACGAGTTCCTTGCGCACCTGGCATCGGATGAGACGCACATTGTGTACCGCAAGTCGGCGCTGTGGGCACTCGGGCACATTGCGGCGTCCGACTCGGGCTACGCCTTCCTCGCCGAGTACCTGACGCGGACAGGGGTGGCGGCCGGGCCAAGGGCAGCGATGGCGCCGGGCTCGGGCCGGGCTCGGGCTCACTCATCGACCAGGTGGTGGGCCTCGCCGAGGGCTCGGACCGGCTCTCGCTCAAGGGCACGGCGTACTTTGTGCTCGGTCTGGTCTCTATGTCTGAGGCTGCGGCTAGCGAGCTGGCGCTGTTTGGGTGGGAGGCAAACGGGACCAAGGGCATCTGCGTCCCGCGCGAGCCTGAAGCGTTTCTCTCGATTGTGCCGTCGACGTACTGCGGGCTCTGGGCCGAGTCTGCCGAGAACGATCCGAGCAAGCAGCTCGATCCGGATGATGACCGCGACGCGCCGACGGCGACGCCCCGGCCGGGCGACGACGAGGCCGAGTTTGAGCTGGCTGTCACCATTCCCCGCAAGATCATCGATGCGGTCGGCAAGCTCTCGAATCACATCACGGCCGACTCGGCGTCGCGCGAGCTCAAGACGCTCAAGCGGTCGGAGGAGACGGCGTTCCTCTTCAACGAGCCGAACCTGGTCATCACGGTCCTCTCCGTTCTCCACAGCTACAAGTTCCGGTATCCGGCGCGGCGGTTTGTGTGGGAGCTGTTTGAGATGTCGGCGTTTACCAATCCCGAGGTGATGGCGGCGCTTGATGCGTGTGACGTGGTGTGATCAGGCGCCGACTCTGGTGCTGGTGCCGTAGGCAAGCTCAACAAACGAGGCGATGGAGGTGAGGCGGAGCACGTGCGGGGTGGCGGTGGGGAGGAGCTTGGCCGGCGCACCGGCCTTGAGCCCGTGGGCAACCTCGATAGGATTGAAGATGTGCGGGGCAGCCGGGCCGCGCGAGGCCGGTGGCGCATTTGGGACAACGAGCGCCGCGAGGACTGGCGTGGTCAGGAGAGCCTCAGCGGCGGCGGTGGCCTCGTCAGGCATGACGGCGGCGGCGGCGGCGTCGAGCGAGGCGAGCCAAGTAGCGTGCTCCGGCTCGAGAATGGCGGTCCACGCGTCGAGGTGGGCGGATCTTGCCGGGATGGCGCGGAGGGCGAGGCTCGCGGCGGAGCGGGTGGCGTTGGCGGAGAGCTGCGAGACGCCGTCATCGCGTGCGGCAAGGGAGGCGAGGGCGGCAGCGATGGCGGCGAGGACGTACTCGAGGGCGGCCGGGTCATCGGAGCGGGTGTCGACCATGACAGCGAGGCCTACCACGGTGTGCGAGGCCGGTGAAGCTGGGGCAGCCTTGGGCCAGGCTGTATGCGACACGACGAGCTCGGTCATGTCTGGTTGAGCAAAGCGGGCGGTAAGGGTGGCGTCGAGGAGGCCGGCAACGATGGCGAGAAGCGCAAAGTCATCAGCGGTGGGCGGCCCGCAGAGCGGAAGGTGCCAGAACGCTGCGATGGCCGACGAGGCGCTGTTGGCGTTGGTGGCGAGGCCAGAGGTGGCGGTCCAGACAACAGACGAGGCCGCGGGCGCGCCGAGGGCAGCGGCTGCAGCGGCGGGCTTAAAGGCGAGCGAGCGGGGAGTAAGAGGATCCGCAGGTGGTGGCAGCGCAGGCTCGCCGTGTGCTGCTGCGCGGACAAGGGCGGCGGCATCGAGAGCGAGGCCTTCTGTGACGTCGTGGGCAAAGCCGTAGCCAAAGAGAACGAGGCGAGCGGGGCTCGCGAGAGTGTGAGAGAGGAAGGCGTTGACGTCGTCGAGAGCGAGCGGCGCGCGCGAGCCAGAGGCTGGTGCTCCGTCGGGCTCGAGTGTGGCCTTGATGATGGCGAGCTGGTCCATAACGCCTGCGGCTGGGCCGCGCGGCGAGCCGAGGAAGCCCTCGAGCATGAAGCGGGTGAGCTCGTCGGGCGAGGCTGCGAGCGGCGGTGAGGACGCAAGGTCGGCGCGGAGGTCAGCAAGGCCGAGGATGAGAGATTGGGGAGTGAGGCTGAGTTCAGCTAAGACAGCAAGGGCGCGACGGAGGGCTGTGGCGACGATATCGCCGGGCGCAGCGAGGTGGAGGACGATGTCAGTGCCAGCGTCCGAGGCGGCCAGGTTGACGACGAGACCGGCGTCGCAGGCGGAAGCCAGAGCCTGCTCGATTGCGATGCGGGCGGCGTGAACAAGGACGGCGACGAGAAGGCGGGTGCGAGGCAGCGTTGCGTCTGAGTGAGCAACAGCGCCTTGCAGGGCGAGGTAGAGATGGCGGTCCTCGTGGAGCGAGTGCAGGCGCGGGAGCGAGTAGGCTGAGGTCCGCGGGAAGTGCGCGAGGACGAGCGAGTGGTGCGGGGCGGCGCCAAAGGGGAAGCCCGGCATAATCTCGGGTAGCGGGTCGCGGATGATGTCCTCCTCCAGCTCTGCGGCGGTGACGGCAAAGAGGTTGCGCGGCGGGTGAGTCATGTCGAGCGCAGCGAGGATGACGTCGCGGCGTGCGGCGCGGGCGTCGGGCGACGGCGAGTTGTAGGGCGTGCCGGCGAGGACGAGAGAACCGCGGGAGCGAGCCAACTCCCACATGACGGACCAGTGCGGCTCGATAATGTCGGTGGTGTAGCGGGTGCCTGAGAGTGGGGCCGGGCGGGCGAGGGTTGGCTGAGCATCAAGGATTGCAGCGGAAACGTTGGAAGCGAGGACCAGATTTCCCGGGGTGCAGGCGGCAAGAAGCGCAGAGACGAGGGCCGGTTCAAAGTGCAGAGCGTGCGGGCTGTGGGTGAGGACGTGAGCGAGGGCCGGACGCGGAAGGTGGAAGGCGGCGACGGCGATGCGGACGGCAGTGTCAAGCGGCGACGGTGGTGGGTCGAGGTAGGCGGCGTCGTCGCGGGCGGCGGCGTCGCGGAGCTCGCACCACATCCAGCGGAGCGGGCCGACGGCTTCGAGCATGCCAAGGTAGGTGAAGAGGGCCGAGCCAATGGCGGCGAGCGAGTCGGGGCTGTTGGGCGGGTCCGCAGCAGGCGTGATCGAGACGGCGAGGACGGCACGACCGCAGAGGTGAGCCAGTGGGATCTGTGTGCGGAGCGAGGCGACGACGCGCGAGGCGAGGCCGTGGGCGCGGAGGTAGGCAGCGAGCGAGCCTGGCCCAGAGTGGTTGATGGCATGCAGGATCATGTCGTGAGCGAGGGAGCCGCGGGTGCCGTCGGTGTGCGGGGCAAGGAGCGGGAAGCAAAAGTGGACGGCAGGCGGGCCGGCCGGATCGACAAAGAGGGCATGGGCAGACGGCGATGGGAGATGCGGGAGCGCTGAGGCAAAGTGGTGCAGAGCGGTGTCGTGGTCGACGCGCGCGGCGAGCGATGCGAAGCGAGCGTACAGCTGTGCTTGGGCTGTGTTGAGGCGCGAGCGAGAGAGGATGGTGAGGGAGAGCGGGCAGGTTGCGGCGCGGGCGAGCCAGTTGGAGAGGGTGGACGAGAGCTGGGCGTCGGAGAGGGCAGCGAGTGCGGCGGAGGGGCCGAGCCCGGAAGGTCGGCAGGGTCTGCGGCAACGAGAGGGGCGAGGACGGCGTCGACGACGGCGTCGAGCGGGAAGCGAGGATCGGCAGTAGCAGCAGCGCCAAGGGAGACGTGGACCGGGGCGTCGATCTCCTCGTAGTGGGCGAGCGGGAGAGAGAGGTCGTCGGCGGAGAGCGGAGCAGCGATGTCGGCAAGAACGGCGAGGGCGGCAGAGAGCGCGCCGTGCGGGACGTTGACGGCGTAGTATGTGTGGTCAACAGCGACAGAGACGGAGAGCACGCCCTCAAGGGCGGCAATGCGCTCAAAGGCCGAGACGGCGTCGGCGAGCATGTGGGCACCGAGGCGGGCAACGTGCGGAGCGTGCTGAGCCGCAAGGCCGGCACCGGGGCCAAGAGCAAGGACAGCGGCAGCCGAAGGCGCGTCGATGTCGCGAAGGAGCAGCGCATCGCAGCCGCGGGCGAGATGGATGTGGCGAGCGCGCGGCGAGGCGTTTGCCGGCAGCGAGGTGCCGCGCTTGGGCCCCGAGTAGAGCGAGCACGCCGGGTTTGCGGCGCCGCAATCGCAGTAGAAGCGCTTTGAGCCGCGGGAAGACGGGCGGACATCGTGCGAGGCGTGGCAGGATGAGGCACAGGCGGCGCAGATGGCATGAGGCGGAGTGAGGTTGCATGTGTGGCAGTAGAAGCTGATGATCCGTATGGGGTCCGGGATCGGGAGTGGGATCGGAAGTGGAAGCGGAGTTCAGAGTCGGGAGATCGGCATGGGGAGGAGCGCCATGGGAGTGGCCACCACTGTGAGTATCGTATCCATGACCATGGCCATGACCATGGCCACCCTTCCACACATACATACGTATATACATACATACATGCATACATACATACATACATGCTCCCCCTCCCCCCCCCTCCCTCCCCATCCTCATGCCAGCCATGCCAACCCCCACGGTCAGCGACAGGCAGGTGACCCACAACCCCCTGCCCACCACAGCCACCACCACAGCCACAGCCACCTCCTCATACTCATACTCATACTCATCCCTCTGTCTACAGGTCTACATATGGGTGTGTGTGCGTACCATGGCTGGTCCTCGTGCCGGAAGCCCGTGGTGGGGACCAGGCTGCACTGGGCCATTAAGAGGGTGCGGGGGGGGGGGCGGGCGGGGAAACAGCGGTGGTGAACAGACACCGAACAGTGGCGGACGGGAGGGGGGGGGGGGGGGGGAGAATTGGGTTGGATTGTTTTGGGAGGGTGCACAGAGATCGACTAGCCAAACATCTTGCCCAGGGCGCCCGAGATCAAGTCACCAGCGTTATCCATCATGTTGCTGCTCAGAGCGTCCGAGATAAAGCCTCCGGCGCTGCTCACCACTCCCGTGACGCCAGATGAGGATACGACGCCGGAGATCTCGTTGAACGCCACGCTGGCGCCTTGACCGACCACCGAGCCGATCTGGTCCACGCCCGGCCCAGCGTTGGCACCGATGTAGTTAATGGCATCGCCTGCGCCGTCATACGCCGCGCCTGCGCCTTGACCAACCACCGAGCCGATCTGGTCCACGCCCGGCCCAGCGTTGGCACCGATGTAGTTAATGGCATCGCCTGCGCCGTCATACGCCGCGCCTGCGCCTTGTCGGACAGCCGAGCCCACCTGTTGCGCGCCCGGCCCAGCGTTGGCACCGATGTAGTTAATGGCATCGCCCGCGCCATCGTACGCCGCGCCTGCGCCTTGTCGGACAGCCGAGCCCACCTGTTGCGCGCCCGGCCCAGCGTTGGCGCCAATATAGTTGACAGCGTCACCTGCACCATCGTACGCCGCGCCTGCCCCTTGCTGGATCGCCGAGCCCACTTGCTGCGCGCCCGGCCCAGCGTTGGCGCCAATGTAGTTGACAGCGTCACCCGCACCATCGTACGCGGCCTGGCCTGCCGACACGGCACCAGAGCCAACATGACCAGCTGCACCGTAAGCAGCCTGACCAGCGCTCGCGACGCCACGCTGGACGTTCGGATCAGTGATCAGAGCGGCAGCGGCACCACCGGCCGCGCCCGCAGCCATCATGTTGCCAGTGCCGCCACCGCCGCGAGTGCTAGAGCTGGTGCTGGCGCCATTGCCCCTGCCACCGTACGATGGTGGTGGCTCTGCGCCACGTGGACCAGCCCCAGGAATGGGCTGGGCGTACGGGTTCGATCCACCGATGTCCGGGCGCTGCGACGGCTGCTGCGGCGAAGGCGAGGAAGCACCTGCCGGTGAAGCACCGCCAGCAGCAGCAGCCGATGAGCCAGGCGCACCTGGATAATCAGCCATGGGAGCGCCAGCTGGATGGTGCTTGTGATCATCATTGTGGTCATGATCCTGTGGCGGGTGATCTTCGACAGAACCCTTTGACCTCTTCTTCTTCCTCCGAATGCAACAGATGCAAAGACAGCAGATGAACAAGAAAGCAACAACGCCAACGACAGCTCCGATGATGGTATCGGTTTTCGCTTGCGATGACGAGTCCGGCGGCGGAGGCGGCGGCGGAGCCTGTCCGTTGGCCACTGCCACACTCGCTGCCATCACCACCACCACACCCATACACACAGCAACGTCCACAACATTGCACAGTAGCCTGGCCATGTCAGTGTTGGGGGGGGGGCAGCTGGAGACAGGTCTACTTCACACCACACGCGCACCGCGTTGTCTGCCCCTCCTGCCGCTCTATCTATGATGCTACTCATCTGAGCTCATCGTTCCGTCACGGCTCATCTGCGTGGGTTTTGCGGCGAATACCTCGCGGCGCGGCGATTTGCTTATATTATTTATTATCAGCACCGATCCGGTTGCCTGACCCCCCCCCTCCCCCTGCCGCAGCCGCCATCACGGATGACCATACCAATCACTATATTGCGAGGGAGGGGACGACCATCGTGGGGAAACAATCGTAGGGAACCAATCGAACGATTAATCGTTGGGGGAAACAATCGTGGGGAAACAATCGTAGGGAACCAATCGAACGATCAATCGTTGGGGAAACAATCGTGGGGAAACAATCGTAGGGAACCAATCGAACGATTAATCGTTGGGGAAACAATCGTGGGGAAACCATCGTTGGGGAACCAATCGAACGATTAATCGTTGGAGAATAACGGAACGATTGAAGACATCAATAATGCATGGACAGGGAGAGTGGCGGGAAGCGGCAGCAAGCGGACACCTCACCGACCGGGCAGAGAAGGAGCAAGGAGGGGGAAGCGGCAGGAGAAGAGGCAAGGAAGGACAGTATGGCAAGCCGCAAGAGTGGACGTGCCCGACCCATCATGGAGAGCCTCCGTGCTCAGCCGGGACTTGCTGGCGTACGGCTGGAAGGACTGGCCGAGAGAGTGACCCGTATGGCGGCTCGGATGGTTCGCAAGAACGGTGCGCTGACGACAGGCTTTGAGCACGAGTTCAACTACACCATGCATGTTGCTGAGCTGTCGTCTTTTCTTCGCGAAGCTGGTCCCGGAGACGATGGTCTCTCCTCTGAGAACCTCTACAAGAATCGCTATGCCAACATCATCCCCTTTGATGCAAATCGTCTGCGGCTGAACCAGCTCGCTCCATCGGTTGATCCGCCGGCTTCGGGGCCACTTCTCCCGGCAGAGCCGGATCCAGACGCTCCGCTCACTCCGGATGCTGTCGAGGCAACTTCGCCGTCTGTTCTTCCGGTTATGGTTGGCGTTGCGGCCGTCTCGGAGGCCACCGACTATGTCAATGCGTCCAAGGTTTCGGGCATCGGCCGCGACGCCCGCGACGCGTACATTGTGGCCCAAGCGCCGCTGCCATGGACGATGGAGGCGTACTGGTCTGCCATCTGGCAGGAAGGTATCTCGCACATTGTCATGCTCACCGACTTTGTAGAGTCGTCGGTCATCAAGGCCGACAAGTACTGGCCACCGCCGCGCTCTGCCGCTGCTGCCGCTGCGGCGCCAGGCACCGCGCTTGGTCCCGGCGCGCTCACCGCCGGCCCATTCCGCATCGCCACCGCATCATACGAGGTGGATTCAGAGGCCGGCGCCGAGATCCGCGTCCTGCTCCTCACCCGAGTCGACGGACGGCCGGGTGTCGAGGCCGAGACGCGGACCATCAAGCACTTTCACTTTCGGGCGTGGCCCGACCACGGCGTGCCCGAGGACTCGGCCAAGTTCCTCGTCCTCATCCAGCAGGTGTGGGCGTCGCGCGGGATGAGCGGCACTCCCGCGGCAGCGACTAGTGACGGTTCGTCGTCGCACTCGGCGCTCGACGACGATAGCAATGACGACGAGAGTGCGTCCATCACCGAAGACGAAGCCCCGCTTCTGGTCCACTGCTCGGCCGGAGTCGGGCGGACCGGCGTGTTTGTCGTTGTCGACGCCATCCTTCGCCACGTCCACGCCGAGATCGAGGCCGGCACGCCGGCGCAGGACATCACGGTTTCCATCCCGCTCACCGTTCTCGAGCTCCGCAAGCAGCGGCGGTACTTTGTCCAGACGCCGCAGCAGTACGAGCTCTGCTACACCGCTGTCCTCAACTACATCACCAACCTTCTTGATGACGAGGGCACCAGCAGCCCCGCCAGTCCCGCGGACTCCACCAACCCCACCACCATGCAAACATGAACATGTACACCCACACCCATCACCACACGCATGCCTCATCCCCCCATCCGTCCCCATCCCCATCCCCATCCCCATCCCCATCCCCATCCCCATCCCCATCCCCATCCCCATCCCCATCCCCATCCCCATCCCCCCAGTCCCCCTTTCCTTTCGACCATTCCTTCGAATCAACTTCGAACACCACTCCTCGCCACAACCACAACCACCACCACCACAACAACCATCACCACCGCCACCACCAGACCCTCAGGCCCATGTCCTCGCGGTTTGTCTCCACCATTGCGTCGTACGACCCAGATTCGTACTGTGGACTGCCCCAGTTCCATGCCAGGGTTCCCCGTGGCGCCATCCTCCGCATAGTGGCCGAGGACCCCAAGGGCCGTGGCTATGTCCGCTGCCAGGCGCCCGACGGCCAGCTCGGCTGGATCCCCTCCTCCATCCTGCTGGAGGACTCGGAGCACAAGTTCACCGCAGCTGCTGCTGCCGCCGCTACTCCGGCGACACCGCCAACCAGTGGCGAAGATCTGGTCGAAGATTCCGACTTGCGCGCCCTGCAGCTCCACATGGCCGAGCTTGACATGGCTGGCCTCCCGCCGCCGTCGTCTTCGGCATCGGCTCCTACGGGAGCGTCTCCCCACGCGGTCATATGTCCGCAGGCCGATCTCATCTCGCACGACTCGCCTGTCGCCTCGGTCCTCATCGAGTGCTCGTACTGCGCTGCAGAGTGCTGCGTAGCCTGCCTCGAGACCCACGAGCGCTCGGTCTGCGCTGTCCGCCACCGCGGCCGCGGCCGCCGTCAACTGACCAGCCCTCCGCTGCCGCCGCCCATGCCAGCCGCCGGCTCGCCGGCCTTTGGTGCATTATCTATTGCGGACTCTGGAAACGTCATGTGGGCATGTGCCACGTGTACTTTCCACAACGGCGCCGGCACCAGCACCTGCATGATGTGCCAGAGCCGCAAGTCGCCGAACGCGCGCATCATCCAGCCCACTGGAACCAGGCGCTCTATCGCAGTCCCGCCTCCGCCGCCACCCCCGCCGTCGGAAGCGTTGCTGTCCACGACCTCGCCGTCACCGCCCTTGCCCTCGAGCTCGAACACATCGGGCTTCGGCAACCCGTTTCTGCCGTCGGACAGCGATGGTCTGCGCGCGAACCCGTTTGTGAGCACAAGACGGTTTGGCTCACGGAAGCGAGAACGGGATGAGCCCAAGTGCAAAACCCAGTCAGGCTTTGGTAGTGGCTTTGGCAGTGCCGCCTTTGGCTTCAGCTCAAGAAGCGTGCGCGCGCCGGTGCCCAAGCCGCCCCCCGGCCGACACTGTCTCCGGCTTCACTTGCCGTGCCAGACATCACCGGCGACGAGGTCGACGATCTTCTCTCGCCGACAGCCTCGGGTCGGATGGCTCAGCGACTGGCGTGTGTGATGTGTTTTGAGCGGCCGCGCAACGCGGCCTTTGTTCATGGCGCACAGGCCCACTTTGCATGCTGCATGACCTGTGCTGAAGCTGTCATGTCGCAATCTGGGCAGTGCTGCATCTGCTCGGTCGAAATCGATCTTGTGGTCCAAGTCTACACCTCGTGACGGCGAGCAGCAAGAGCGGTAACCACTGCTGCGCCAAACTCAGTGACCTCGGGCCGGACCCGGTCCGCTTGCTGGCGGCTGCCCCCGCGAAGCGCCACCATGCCGTCGGTCTTGAGCTGGAGGAGGTGGACAAAGGCCTTGGCCGCTGTGCCCGCGCTCACCGCCCCGGGCGCCACCAGCTCGCCAAAGGGCGTGCCTGGCGTGGCGCGTGCCAGCCACCGCAGAAATCGCGCTGTCGTGCCCTCCATGTGCTCGACGGCCCAAGCCACGTCGCCGCTGCGCGCAGGCTGCGAGCTGCGCGCGCGCTCAGGACCCATCGACGCCTCCAACAGCGCACCGAGCGACCGCTCCGCCGATGGCTCAGCATCCTCGGCCTCGTCCCACGCCACCGCAAAGGCCTCGTCCCACTCGCCGGAGAATGTGTCGCCGTCCGACAACGGATCGGGTGCCGCGGACGCGGCAAACGAGAGGTCCAAACCGCTCGCCCACGCCCGCCGCTCCGCCGGCGGCGCGGGCTCGAGCGAGAGCGAGCTTTGCAGCAGGTTGCGCAGCGCAGGCGCAACCTGCGGTCGAAGCTCGGTCGCGTGGTGCGCAAAGACTCGCGGCCGCCACCCGACTGCTCGCCAAGCGTCGAGCCGCGCCTGCCGCACCCCATCCTCCACCCGGCTCGCATGCCACGTCCCGACGGTTGATGCGCCGGTCTCCAGGTTCCGCCGCATCACCGCCGATGAGAACCGAGTGCGGGCATCGACCTGTGGTCCGCGCGGACGCGCGCGCTGCTGCGCCACGTGCTCCTCGTCCCATCCGAGCGATGCAAGCGACGCAAGCTGCGGCTCGCTGACCGCTCGGCCAAACAGCTCCCACTCGCCGACTTGGTCGTCGCCGCTGTTGTCGTCAAGCGCGCCAACGCCCGGCTCGTAGTGCGGGACGTTAGCCTCGCCAAAGTCGTCGATGCCAAAGCCATCGTCGCCGCCAACAAGCAGCAGGCCCAAGTCGTCGACGCCGGTGCCGCCGGCAAAGAGCGAGCTTGCCGCGGGATCGGGCAGCGTGATGGCGCATGGCGGCGCGGCGTGCGCAGCATGCGGATCAAGGACCAGGAAGCCTTGGTTGAGGTCAGCACCCTCGACGCCGCCGCCAAGTACGTTCAGCAGCCCGCCTTCCGGTCCCCCGAGCATCGCCGTGTAGTACTCTCGGAGCGAGGCGTCGTTCTGCAGCAGCTCGCGAAGGCAGGCGTGCGCGGTGGCCGCCCCCACGTCACCCCCTGCCTGCTTGCGCACGCGCCGCCTCTGCGCCGCCCGCTTCCGCCGGTGTCCTCCGCCCGCAGCCTTTGTTGTGTTAAACGTCTTGAGCTGGCCCATGATGGTGGTCATGGCCTTGGATGCATCGTCTGCGGCGGTGGTGGGTTGAAAGGGGGTGAGTGGAACCATGGCGAGCCATGCCGCGGTTGATCAACCGCGCGATCAACCGCGGGGCCTGCCACCTTTGACGCCTTTTTCCTGAACGCGCTCAAGGCGCAACGTACCGAGGGTGTAGGCACACTTGCGGTCGTAGATGGCAGCAAGGCCATGGACAAGCACACCTTTGACTGCTAGCGACAGGTCGGAGGCGTCGATGGCCCGCTTGCGGACGGCGGCCGCGAGGCCAGTGATGTTGGCCGAGAGCACCGACCGCTTGGGAATGGTCTTGAAGACCGCGACCTTGCCGCGGTGCGACGACGGTGCCGATCGTGACGACGCGCCCAAGCCCTTGAGTGATGCCCGCGCGTGGAGCCTGCGGTGCCGCATGCGGCCCATCCGCGCAAGCTGTCCGGCATTCCACAGCTTGCCCAACGAGGTGCGGGTCGAGAGGAGCTCGGCAAAGAACATGTCGTCGGTCGGTGTGTGTGCTGCCAAGTGGCGCGAAGGAGAGAGATGCCCCTCCGGGACCTGTGGCAGCGAACCGGCACCCGACGGCTGGTCGACCGGGTGTCACAGCGACGACGCCGACGAGCGATCGCCGGCCGACGACGAGTCGGACGAAAAGCCCGAGCCCGAGCCCGAGTCAGAGAACGCGCCGTCAGCCGTCAGGTCTGACGAGTCACCCGAGTCGTGCGGAGCGCCGAGCGTGGCGCCGACCGAACCGGAAGCGCCTGGGGCGCCAGACCCTCCACTGCCAGCAGCTGCCGAGCCGCCACTTGCGCCTGGCGGGGAGAGGTCGTCCAGATCAATGTCGATGTCAATGTCGACGGCTGAAACCTCAGCAAAGGCGCAAGTAAAGTCCGAGGCAGTGAACGCCTTGTAGACGGCAAACATCTCGGCCACAAAGGCGCGGAAGTTGTCCATGTCGATGATGCCGCGGACAATGGCGTGGACAATCGACGTCAGCTCGTCGAGCGCAGCCTTGGTCTCGTGCGGTGTCGAGCTCGGCAGCTTGCCCAACAGTGCCCGGTAGAGGTCGAGGACCGAGCCGCCCCAGGTCTTGAGTCTGACCTTGAGCTGGAGGACGAGCGGAAGGATGCCGGCGTAGCGGGCGGGACAGTTGGCGCGGCGGACGATCCAGCCCGACGTGACAGCAATGCCGTCGGCAATGTCAGGCGAGAGCGAGGCGACGTGGACTACGCCGAGGGCCGGGAGCCAGAGATAAGCCTCGGGCGTCATGGCCATAAAGTCCTCCTGCGTCACCAGCGCCGCGTCCTGGATCGCAAGCAGGACCTCGGGAATGGCGTGGACAAAGGTGTCGTAGAAGGCCTCGTCCGAGATGGTCGCGCCTTCCGAGGGATGCGCCGGCGCAGGACCCGGCGCCCGCCCCAGCTCGGCCTGGATGTAGGCATCAAGCGAGGCCGGTGACATGCCCAGGTTCGCGCCGAGCGCCTGCTTGGCCACAAGTACGTTCTCTGCTGCCGCCGCCACGCCTGCGCTCTCGGGATTGATGCCGGCCTCGCACAGTGCGGTGACCAGCCGGAGCTCGAGCTGCGAGAGCTCGTACAGCTCGCGCGGCATGCCGTCAAAGGCACCGACGCTTGCAGCCGCCGACACGGCCTCTGCTCGCCGCTGCAGCTCGCCGATGGCGGCAGAGGTGTTGGGCCCCAGCCGCGGCCGTGCTCCCCTGCTCCGCGGTCCCTGCCGAGCAGCCGCCGCCTTGTCGGCCTTCCGCTGGGCCTTCTCGGCCTTGCGGCGGGCCTTGGCCTCGGCCTTGGCTGCCTTTTCCAGCGCCTTGACCTCCTTCTTTCGCCGCTTGTCCAGCGCCTTGCGCTCGGCCTTGGTCAGCTCCCTGTCTGCCATTGAGGTAGGGAGGGGGGGGGAGGGGGGGGCCGGGGAGAGGTGGCCACTCACCAGCAGCAAGCTCCTCCGATGCCGACAGGCAGCAAGCAACACCCATCGGTCTCGGCTGGAAAGAGCCAGCGACAGGTCGCCCAGGCTGGAGAGACTCGCAGATGCTGGGCAGAGATGCACCACGGGCAGTAGTGCAGCTCTGGCACATCGGGACTCTTGGACAAGTGGAGATAGGGCGGGATCGGAATGGAGATCAAGCAAGCATGTGGTGTTTGCTTCCGCCCCCCCCCCCCGTCCGGTGTCGTCGTCCGTGCAAGCATGTGGTTTTTGCTTGCCCCCCCCCCCCCCCCCCCCGGTGGTCGTCTGGCCCCTTGCCCTCCCTTCAATTGGACAGACAAGTCACATTGCTTTGCAGAGGGCAAGGATCCCTTGGCGGGAAGGGCGCAAGGGCGGGGAGGTGGGGAAGGGGGGGGATACACGACTCGCACGAGGACAAGGGCGGGAGGGAGAGAGACAGACAGCAGACAGCAGACCGAAAGAGAGAGACATCGACAGACTGGGGGCATGAGCTTGCTGTACACGGTGTGGAAGGTGCAGCAGTGGGGAGTGCTGGCCGGGGCGGTGGCGTACTTGCTCCCGTTGGGCTTCTCCACGGCGGCTTATGTCGTGTGCTGCCTCTGCGCAGTGGGCACGTATCTGATCTCGCTGTACAACACGGTCGGGCTTGTGCAGGCCAACAAGGAGTGGCTGGCACGAGCCATGATGGACAACAACACCCACTACGTGCTGTACTCGGTGGCGGCGGCGGTCCAGCCGCCGGCGCTCGCCCGCGTCACACCGCTCGTCCTCTTTGCCGCCTACCAGGTCGCCAACTGGATGCACTCGACTGGGTCGGCGCCTGCGGCGCTGGCCGGCCCGGTTGCAGTCTTCCTCACTCAGCAGACGACCTTGTTCCAGATCATCTCGCAGATCGAGGTCATGACCGTGGCCATGGCCGTCATCTTTGTCCCCTTTGGCCGCTCCTCGCTCGCCGACGCCGCCATCCTCTGCAACTTTATCTACCTCCGCTACGCAGTCTCGCCCTTTACCCGCGCCTCGTTTGCCACCGTCGCCACGTACACAGACCCGCTGCTGGCCTCGCCGCGGACGCCTGGCCCCATCGCCTGGGCCTACCGCAAGTTCAAGTCGCTCGCGCCGCCCATCGTGCCGGCCACCGCCTAGCGCTCGCCAGCGAGTAAATGCATGGACGCACGTCTCTCATCCGTGGAACTCGGAGAGTTTGCCGAGCTTGGACGAGTACTCTTCCAGCCGCTCGCGGTGCGATTTGGCCACCTCGGACGCCAACCGCTTGGCCTCCATCTCGGCCTGCATGGCCTCAAACTTGCGCTGCGCCTCGGTCCGGGTGTCGACGACCTCGCTTCCGCCATCGCCGCCCTCGTCTCCCTCTGGTCCAGCCACCGTCACAGAGCCCACTACCTCGGCCCGCGGAATAGCCTCGCCTAGCAGCGTCCGCTGCTTCTTCCGCCGCCGCCCGCTGCCACTGCCGCCACCGCCACCACCGCCACCAGCTGACGATGATTCAGAGTATGGGCTGCTATACTCTGAATACGGATAGCTGTAGCCCGAGTACGGGTAGCTATAGCCCGAGTAGCCCGAGTAGCCCGAGTAGCCCGAGTAGCCCGAGTACGACCCGCGCCGCCGCCGCCTGCCCGCTGCGCGCGACTTGCTCTTGCCCTTGGCCCTGGCCCTGCTGCCCTTGGCCTTGACCTTTCCCTTGGCCTTGGTCTTGGCCTTGGTCTTGACCTTGCCCTTGCCCTTGGCCTTGCCTTTGCCCTTGGCCCTGTCCGTGCTTCTGCTGCCCTTCCCTTTGCCCTTGCCCTTGCCCTTGCCCTTGCCCTTGCCCTTGCTCTTGCCCTTGCCCCCAGACCCGCGCCGCCTCTTCCCGCCATGCCCCACGTCCACCCCCTTCAGCCGCAGTCGGCCAGCCACCACACCCTCGTACTCCATGCCCTCGTCGGCCTGCACCCGTGTCAGCCACAGTGAGGTGTGTCTCCTCGCCCCCTCCCCCCTCCCCCCCCCCCCACCCCACCACCACCACCCCACCACCCCACTCCCCTGAGCCCGGCCATGGCCTCGGCTGATACCCCTGATGCGCTCTTCCTCCAGTGGATGCTGCCTACCACGATGGTCGGGTCGTACGGCGGTGGCGCCGAGCTCTGCCTCCCCCAGACTCTGGCGACGGGCGTCCTGGCGCACGACACGCTGCCGTCGCATGTCGTCGCCGATGCGGCCCATGCAGTGGGGGCCGGTGCAGTCCTCGCCGCACGCATCGTGGTGGCTCTGCTGCCAGATGGCGATCGGTGGAACGTGTTTGCCCACGGCCCGGTGTTGCGCCCGCGGGCGGCGGCTGGCGTGCCGCTGCAGGCCCATCCCAAGATCGGCGTCTATGGCCTGGTGCCTGCCGACGGCCTGATCCTGGCTGATGACGAGGCAGTGACCGACGACGAGCGCATGCGATGGGCCGGCCGTGAGGCGCTCGGTGCGCAAGCAGATGTGCACGCACACGCAGTCGATGGCGATGCCTACGGCGGGCTACGTGTAGGGTCCGACATGGCCCGGATGGCTCCGGCCGGACCGGACGGCGGCGGCGATGGCTGGCTCGCGGCGTGGATCGCTGTCGTCGACGACAACCCGGACTTTCCTGTCGCCGACGCCACGCTGTGGATCGGCGTGCCTGCCAGTGCAGCTGGCAGCGTCGAGCGCGCGTTAGAGGGTGCGGGTGACGACGGCACTGCAGTGGCGCGGGCGGTGGCGCGCGTGGCGCCTGCGGCGGTGGCGGCGACTGTCGCGGCCGTGGACGGCTGAGCCATCATCTGGCAATCATTCATTGCTCCTCGTACTCCATCTGGGCAAGGCGGGAACCGGTGTCAGCCGACGTCGAGGGCGCCGGGGCTGCCGACGGGCGCGGGGCGGAGCGCTGGCCCTCCTCAAGGAAGACCTCGAGCATGCCCTGCATCGAGTGCAGGTCGCGGAGAAAGGCGACTTCGCGGCGAGTCTGCTGGGCCAGCTGGACAAACTGCTCGTCAAGCGAGACAAACTGGCCGATGAATGGGGCGTACATCTCGAGGACGGTGGCGGCGACGTCGAGAAGCAGCGGCGCGTAGCGCGGAACGACGGCGTAGCGGATGAGAAACTCGAGGATGGGCTCGAGCGAAGTATCGTCCCGGCCCTTCAGGGCAATGTTGAGGCCGGCGCGCTGCTTGAGCTCGGCAATGAGCGAAACAACGACGACCGGATCGCGGGTGTTGAGGGCGGCGTCGAGCGCGTTCTTGTACTCAAACTTCTTGAGGAAACGCTCAAAGTCGCGCAACTTCTTGCGGCGGAAGGAGGCAAGAACAAAGTCGCCGGCCTCAGGCTTGTGCGACTGACCGCGCTCGGCGTGGGCGTGCGAGCCCGGATGGAGCTTCTTGGCTGACGGGCCGGCATCGTCGCCCGAGCCGGCACGGGTGGCCGGGCGCATATCGGCGGCAGACGCGCCGCCCTGCTTGTGCTCGCGGATGGCGAGTTCGCCGTTGACGCCGCCGGCAACCAGGAGCGAGTTGTCCGGCGCAAGGGCGAGCGAGAGGAGCGGCGACTCAAACTTGATGGTGTGGGTGACCGAGTAGTCGGTGACGTCGTAGACCTTGACCTGCTGGTCAAGCGAGGCCGAGAGCAGGCGGGCGCCGGTCGAGTCGAGAGCGAGCGCGGTGATGGTCTTGCGGTGGTTCGAGACCGAGAGCAGCTTCTTGCCGCCAGCGAGAATGTCCCAGACCGAGAGCGAGTTGAGAGCGGCCGAGACGACCAGGCCCGACGACGGCAGGACGAGGAGGGCCTCCAGCGGCCCGCCTCCGTCGAGCGAGAGCGTCGAGCTCCCTGTCCGGGTATCCCACAGCATGATCGAGTGGTCGTACGAGCCCGTAAGCAGCAGATGCTCCGAGCCTGGCATGAGCGTCGCCGAACGGACGACGTCGGTGTGTCCACTCAGCGTCATCGTCGACGTCTCGGTCGGCACATCCCAAATTCGCGCCGTAAAGTCGTCCGACGCCGTGTAGAGCGAGGACTTTGAGCCGAAGCCGAGCGCCCGGACCGCCCGCGTGTGACCCTTAAGCTTACGCAGAATCAGCCGCGACGAGGCATCAAACAGCTGGACAAGACCGTCCTCAGACCCGGCAGCCAGGATCTTCCCGTCGCCGCGCCACGTCCCGCAGTACGCCGTGTCCGGGAACCGAGTCAGCGTCCGCGTCTCGGCCTTGGTCGCCGCCGAGTAGACGTGGACCCGCGAGCCAGCCGTCACCGCGAACGCATGCGGTGCAGCCGGGGAGAACTCGATGTGCGAGACCGCGCCAAACTTCTTCTCTGTGGCCACAGCCTATGGGAGTGGGGCGGGGGGGGGGGGTGAGCAGGGGGGCGGGGGCTGGGGCTGGCTTCTCGCCCGACCGCATCCAGCCATCCATCCTGGACGAGACGGGCAAGCAGAGTCAGGGTGGTGTGGAGGGGAAGGAGAGGGACGGGGGAGGGAGCGAGATTGTGTGTGTATGAGGGGGGGGGGGACGTACCTTGTATCTCTTCCACCAGCGGGCCTCGGACGACTGCCGCTCGGGAGCCTGCGGGTAGGCCTGGAGGACCAGGCGCTTGAAGTCCATGTGCTGGGCCGGAGACGAGCGTGGTGGGGTGTGGGGTGCAACGAGTGTTGGTCTCGCAGGGGCAAAAGGCTGGGATGAATGGGTGGTACCACAACAGTTCATTGGGTGGTGAACGAGTAGTTCTTGACCAGCATCTTCTGGACGGCAACGAGGGCGTGCTCGCGGACCGACTCGTCAGCGTGGGTCATGAGGGCCATGAGGGCGTCCTTGCCCTCGAGCGAGGTGAGGATGCGCTTGCCGGCGGGGTGGATGCGGACAAACTCGCCGAGGTCGTGGGCGGCGACGGCGAGAATGAGCGGGTCCTGCGACGACGAAATAAGCTGGATGAGGACGCGGAGGAGGCGCCACTCTTCCCACTCAAACTTGTTGATGTTGATGCGCCAGAAGGCCTCCGACTTGTGAACGGGGCTCCAGGTGAGGAGGCCCGAGAGCACCTCCTCCTTGTACTGGCCAAAGGTGGAGAGATCCTCCTCGTGGACGCGAAGCGAGTCGAGCAGAGCCTCGATGCGCTCGATCATGTCGGCGTCCTTCCACGCGTGGGCCAGCAGCGTCTTGCCGTACTTGACCATGCCGACCTCGACGATGGCGGAGCCGAGCTGGCCACGGTCGACAAGGTTGATGACGACACCGATGGCCATGCGGAAGACCTTTTCGTTCTCCTTGCGGACGCGCTTGAGGACGCGCATAAGGAGCGGAATGACCGGGCCACGCGATGGCATCTCGGCTGCAATGTCGGCCGAGTACGAGAGGAGCCAGAGGACGTTGAGGGCCTGGTAGATGAGCTGAAACTGGAGCGACTCGGGGACAATGAGCGAGAGGATGGCGTCAAAGGCGCGCGGACGGGCCCAGAACTCCTGGCGGACCGAGTTGTAGCGGAGGAGGGTCTGGAGAAGGCCGACGGCCGGCTCGAGGAACGACGACGAACCCGACATGGTCGACACCGTGGCGTCAGCCGACGCCAGTACCCGCGACGCCGCCGACGTCGACGCCGACGCCGACGCTGATGACGACGCCCGCTGCATCGACGACACGGTCTGGTTGTGGGCCCAAGCGAGGAGATCGGCCAGCTGGGTGACGCCAATCGGGAGCGGCGCGCGCGCCAGCGCCTTGATCACCTCCAGCACCTTGCTCACCACAAAGAACGCCTTGGGGTCCGAGACATCGGCGCGGGCAAGAATCCGCAGCAGCGGGCCGTAGACCGGCGAGTCGACGCCCGCAGGCAGGAGCGGGAACGTGCGCGAGCCGAGGTCCGACGGCGGGCGCGCCGCTGCCGCCGTCGCCGCTGCAAGCACCTGCGGGTCGTCGGCTGCCGGCGGCGTGCCGTCGCCAGTCACCAGATCAGGCGGCGGCGCACCGATTCCCTCGGCAGCCAGCAGGCCGGCCTGCAGCTGACACGCCGCCTCCGACAGCTGCTCGCGGCCCATGCGGGCGACAGTGTCGGCAAAGATGACCAGCAGGTAGGAGACAAGCTCCGATTGCGGCGAGGTTGGGACAGCGGCGAGGCGGAGGAGCGCACCAAGAACGCCCGGTCCGGCCGTGGCCAGCATTTCCTCGGCCTCGGCCTCGGACACGGTTGCCAGCTGGCGGACAGCGGCAATGTCTGCCTGGTCTGCGTCGACTGTCTTTTCCACCTGCGACCAATCCATGCCGCGGGTACGCACGGTGTCGGACATATCCTGTGTAAGGGGGGGGG